CCCTCCTACCTTGTAACTAGGGTCCTGACTAAGGACTTCATTTTACCAATGAGTAAAGAGAGAAAAATAAGTCTGATTATTCCCCACAGGCTCCTGTGAGTCAGTAATCAATGAAGCATTTATCGCACTGTCTCTCCAGCAGATAGTCTGCTGTGCTGCAGACTAATTCCCCTTGAGACCTTCTGTATATCTCCTAGTTTGTAACTTAGCCAAATATTCTCATTATCTTCTGACACCTTTTCCCAGAGGATGCCATTATGCTAAAACAATTTCCATGTAAGTCGTGAGTGTGGGGAGGGAAGGGTAGAGCATAAAAGGGAGGTTACATTTGCAATGACTGTTGTGAAGACTTATTCGCTTAACCATTAACCATGTGAAGGATTGCTTGCTCTGCTGAAACACAAACTCATCAGAACTGACATTAAAATTAAGTAGGAGATAATTTACCAAAGAAATGAGTTCTAACAGTCTGCACCCCTTAAACCACTAATTTCAAACTTTTTCCTGTATATTTCTCTCCACCTATAAAAAGACCTGTGCTTTCTCTACTTTCAGAACAATTATTCATGCAAACAGCACATGCAAACAAAACAGCTGTATTTCTGCAGAGCTACCTCAACTGCTTCAACACTGTTTTACATGAAGGATGTTTTGCATTCAGTTAATAACCAGAATGCTCTGAGACAGCAGAGTATGTGGGTCTTCAGCTCTGAAATTACTTCAGCTCCAAACCTGCAGACCATGACCCTCCTCATCAGCACAAAGAAAGTGTTCTGGTGTCTTTGCAGCACTTGAATTTGTTCCAACACCCTTCCCATTGCGCCCATCAGCCCTGCAGAGCCTCACTGATCACTGTAATTTTTACTATTTTTGTCCTTCCTCTGAGCTTGGAGCTCAGACTGGGGGAGGAGAGAGATGTGAAGAACCACACTGGGTTTCCTTCACCCTCACAAAAAGGTTAACTCAGATTTCCAATAGAGTGCATTGAGATTTTTTTTAAGTGTTAGGGTGAGTGCTGAGCAGGTCCAAACTGACATTACAGATGTATAACATGGATGTCATGTCAAATATATGTCAGATCAGGACACAAAGATAAGCTCTTCCCCTTCCCTGCTCACAGACATGCACTCATGTTGGTCTAACTCTTACCCTGGAGGCCTGGCTGTGTAAGAAGAAACTGTGGGGATCTACCTTTGCCTCCTAATAACTTATAAAGAGACTAAGATGTTGCCCAGATGCTTAAAGTGTGTTTATACTGGGGCTACCTGCAAAATGCTTAAACTATAATGAAAAAGGGGAGGAGAATCACTGTACAAACTCCAGGTTGAAGCTTAAGTCACTGCTCTTGATTTCTTGCTATATTTGTTTGGTTGGGAGATTTTTAAGGGTCTTTAAATACAAGACACTACTTTGCAGTAGAAGAAAATGCATGCTAGGAAACAAGAACCTGGAGATGTGGCTGTAAGAGCCTAGACCTGATCTCTTCTGCACCAATGCAAAGCCTTTCCTTCCACTGGCAGAGGGAGGGCATCTGAGTGTGGACCCTCTATAACTGCTTCTTTATACTATTTAATGACATGTGATTGCCCAAAGGTTTCATGAGATCCTGGAAAGCACAAATAGAAGTGACTCTCAGTGGCACTGATGCCTAATTGGCTTTCAGCTTCACTCTGCAGCCATGACAATACTGGAAACAGCACTAACAGGTTAACTTAATGGTTGACTGCTACCCCCCTGAAACAGTCACTGTACTAATTACATGTCAGGAATGCTCATTGTATGGCCTAATCAAAGCTTACCTTCAAGAAAGGTAAAATATCATAGCACTACTAAAATATGGAAAAATAAATTCCTTTTTGCATGGATACACTACTTCACTACTTCATTTTGCATGGATACACTATCTCATTTGGTTGTTTAATGCATTTGTTTCTGGCTGTATCCAAAGGGAAAAGGAAGGGAAGTTAAAAAAATTTAGGCAGTCAATTCAGACACTGTGTCTATAGTGGTATTTATTTAATATTTCAAATGTTATAAAAAGGTAAGGTAGTTTTTTTTTTTTTTAAATAGAAAGAAAAAATAGTACACATGTAAGTACATTCATAAACTGCAAAATATATATCCAAGGTATGTAATGAGGAAATACCCTTAGCTAATGCAAATTTTCAGTAAAAGCAATGATCTGTCCTGAATTAATAACCTGTACTTTAGGGTCTAGAAACAACCCAGTCATAATAAACTCCTATTCATCCCATGTCTTGGAAACTTTATGTGGCAGTAACTAACTCTTACTCATCTGTTTTTCCTGCTGATTATGCACTAATTGACTCTTTTTTTACTTTGTGAGAAGAGAACATCTGACTGCTTCAAATACCAAGGTGCAGAGATCCTAGTCAGTCAGGCAGACACAACCTGATTTACTGGGAAGTTAAACCCTCTGTTATTTGCCCTGCTATCACATTGGAAATGGTAGTTACTCATTTCAGCAGCCTTCCACAGCCTATCTGCTTTTGACATGCCTGTTGCGTTAGCTTGGATTGGTCATTTTAAAAGTTAATAATCTAAATCTCACTTCAACAAGACTGACATTAGGGCCTGTGTAATAGTGGAGTTTAATACCTGCTTAGTTTAGTTCCCTTAGAAGTGTTAAGCCAGTATAAGTCTTTCATGCTTTTATTTTATTGAAATATTTTATTGAAAAATTGCTGCAGCATAGACGAGAAGGGAATTCAAATTGCCTGAGTTTGTGGTCCATGGCCATCACCCCAAGGCCACATCTCCTTTCACATCTTCAGGCTTTAAAGTGCAAAGACTTGTGCACACAAACAGTGAGGTTTTGAATGCTGGCAGAGCTAAAGGGTTTAACACAGGTGAAAACAACCCAAAGTCTGCTCTTGTGACAATCTGGTTACGAAATCCTGAAATACTCCAAGAAATGAACTAAGGGATCACGACATGCTTCCCTAGACATCTGTCCTGGGCATTTATGTGTAGTGTAAATCACTGCATAATCTCAACACTTAGGAAATATTTCTGGGATAGGGAGCTACAGTCTGCTATTTGTATATAGTGAAGTGAAGCAGAGAGAAGATAAAAGATTTTCCCAGAGTTTGACAGTGTCTGCATTTTAACTGGATAAGAGAGACAAAAGAATCTGTGCAAATCTACTAGCTACAAAATTGAGCAGAGTTTTTTGCCCTCCCCTACTGAAAACCAGCTATAAAATACTTCTGAGTTGCAAAATTTACATTTCATTCCCTTGGATAATTTGGAAGTGAAAGCATCTAAAAATAGATGATTTGGGGATTGCTTGATATGTACATGATTCTCCTTATGCTTGTATTAAAACACTTCCCAAGGTTCAATGAACATTTTGCTTCTTTTCTTAGCTAGCTTGTTAATTTGAGACATTTTACATAACCTGCCCATTTCAGGAAATGCCAGTGAGTAAAGTTTTTGCCTTATTATATCTGCTCCATGTGATGTTTTCTTGAAAACTATGTTAGCAAGGAAATGATATTCTACTGTCCAAGCTGTCTCTCTTTGCTATATCCATCTGATGTTTGGCCTGTGACATCTTGCTGACAGGTTTCTCAAAAGCTTACAAAGGGGTAAGGGAAAGCCTTTAAAATTTATTTGCCTCTGTTAAATATCAGGCCTGGTAGAATACTTTTCAGCTGCAAAGTCACCCTAAAGCCTTTTATCAGTTAAAGACTCCGTGGAAAAAAACACTCAAAAAGCTTCTTGTTGCTGTTTTAAATCCAAGTTTCAAGTACATTTTCTTACCCATATCTAGGTTCTCCTCCTGTAACAAATGTTAATCCACCAGTTCAGAGCATCCTTTCTTCTGGTTCAAAAAGGTAATTTAGTAGCTTGTATTAATCTTCTACCTGCTTCATTCCCTGAAATACATGAAAACTGAACCCTTGAGAGTATGTATTCTGCAACTTTTGTGCCTAGATTTTTGCCAGGCTTTTTATGGACAGTGAGAATGATCTCTCTCTCAGATGGCTGCTATGACAGTTTAATCACCTATTTTGAGTTAATAGCAGTAGCATTCAACAATTGCATCAATTCTTCACGTGTGCCTATCTACCAGGAGGAAAAACATGTTATCCTCACTCTTCTACATATTTTTCAGATTTATATATTCTCTGTTAAAGAGAATATATTGTGTACAAATAATTAAAATAAAAATAAAAATATTTTGCAAATTAAAAAAGCTTTAAAAATAAATAAAAAAGAAAAATAGATGTGGTGACTCCCCCTCCCCGTCTCCATCACCCCATCCTGCTAAAGGATGATAAAGCCTGTAGTATTTTTTATTCCCCACAAGTCCAACAGATTTAGTACCATTTCTTCTGCTTACTTTTGGCACAAACTATAAACTCTTGTGAATTCTACTGCAAAACTACATTTAATTTGATTCCATTTCCCACAAAAGCTGGGAGCTGTTCCTCCCCAGAAGCAGACTTTGCATTTCTCCTTGCTAAGCTTCATGAAGTCCCTATCAGCTTACTTCTCTGTGGCCTTGTTAAACCCAACCATAATGGGGATGTTCCAAGGGACCACACTAGCACAAGTACCACGTCACCAGACAGGGTGGCTTTTTCAACTCTTTACTATATATAATTGGTTAATTTATTTTATTTCCTTCTCAACATCTGCTCCAAGTATTCAACTCAGTATGACTCAGTGGAATTGAGAATTGAGGAATTCTTTTTTAAGCCTGAAGGAGGCCACAGTTCCTTTTCTTTCCATGGTGGGGGAATACAGCATCCATATTCCACCCTGTGTTCTCAGTACCCAAATTGAATTTATCAGAACATGCAAATATTTCAACAAGTTTTCAAAACACTTCACTTGTACGGTTTATAGCCATATGACATACACATTGAGCAGCTTTCTACATAAACTTGTTTCCTAAAATCAGCCTGAGGTCTGTTTTCCATTCACAGGCACAGAAAGTGGCACTGGATTTGTAAGAAGAGGGCACTTACTCAGTATTGTGTGTATCAATGCTGCAAAAAAGTTCATGCAGTTCTTCTCCACTCACAACTCCGTCAGCAAAGTAAGCTTTGAATTCATCAAAAGACAGTTTCCCATCATCTGAAACAGTGAAGAAATGGAAATTTCATTCACTTTTTTCCTTGTTTACTTAGTGCAGTAGAAGAGGAAAGTATTAAAAACCTCCAGGTCTTCAGCTTAAATGAAGAAATTTTACATTTCAAATACAAGAGGGATAATCAGCAAACAAAAGTCAAATAAAGATTCATTTTCCTGTTATTATAAGAAATTTTAAAGATTAAACTCTAGTTAAGTAATAATTTATCTAAATTGATTGAGTCTTTTCATGATGCATAAAGAATATTTTTATAGCCTAACACTTCATAACTCTATTTTAGGTAGCAAGAAATTTAAGTTCACATGTTTCTTTCCCTTTCTTCAGTAACATACTGAATCCCTCAGAGGGCACTAAAAAATTGTAGAGGATAAGACTGAGATATCCTACGCATCAGACTAATCTACAATGTATTGTGACTTAATTTTATAGTGATGAAGAATGTATTATAAAAGCAGTATCTAAATATTGTAACTGCATGCAGTACTACTGCAGCCAGATTTGAAGAGTAGAGCTGAGAAGTGTCCTTCTTCTTTTACTTGCTATTATTTAATAATTTTTTTGACTGGGACATATAGCTTCAGATATCTTGAAGAGGTTTCAAAATTGTACAAATTAATCATCTGCTTTAACATAACCATTTTGAAATGTTTAATATGAAAAGACAGACTGTAGCTGGAGATGATCATCATAGCAATCAAAATAAAATGTCAAGATCTTCAAGAGCCAGAAACGGAGATGACACAAAACTGCAATGATTACCTAGATGAGAATCTAAATACTTTTGCCACTTGGCTCTGGTTACAGAGAAGGAATATCAAATATTGAGTGTGTTGCACTGAGTGTTCTCACAGCTATGCTCCCTTTGGCTCTTACAGATACAATCAATTGCTTAATCAAACCACCTCTGCAGCTTTATCCTTAGCTGGCAAGGCTGATTTGCATGCAAGTTGTACACATACTCAAGAAAGTAGTGCCTTTTGGCAACTTTCCTGAGATAAACATATGAGTTTACCCATAGAACAGCCTGGGGTGTGACACAAAATATTAAACAAGTGTACGGTCCTTCAGGATCATTGGCTTTATCTCAATCCAGAAAATCACTGATCCACCAACAAATTGGGTACTTTAGCTATCTTCTTTAAATTTTTGTCATCCAAGAGCAGACATTGCTCAATGATCAAAATGAACATTTTGCTTCATTTCTGTTTATTCTTAATAACATTCTGAATGTCATTGATATTGAGTGACGAATCACTGAGATGGTTTCTGGCAAAACACAAGGGCTTTTGAACCCATTTGATACTTATAGACTTCATACAGTTACTTTTTACTAAAAAAAGGCTCTAATTATCCAGAGCATTTCTCTGATTTTGTATGAGAGCAACTGTTTTGCCCGGGCAGCTGGGGAGGGCTCCACTACTGGTGGCCATCCTTGTGCTTCCTCAGATGAAGCTCAGACCCAACGCTGAACAAGTGCTCCCTGTGCTGTTAAACTGAAAATGCATTTGCCTAGACAGGTGATTTGTGGTTTTGTTTCATTTTGTTTTGTTTGGGTTTTTTGTTTTGTTTTTATTTTATTTTAAATTTTTTTTAAAAAAAAATCCCCCAAGTGTCAAGAATAGCTTTTATTTTAAACGTTGTGTCATGTGTCCTCAGCACCACTTCCCTGGGCACACCTCACTGCCCTTGGAGTGCCCAGATAAACACTATCTGGTTTAAGTGCTACAGAAGAGCTGAGCAGAAGCCCCTATTAGAGATCCTTCAATACTTGCCACTGGCAAAGTGACAGGGGAAGGATGAGCAATGAAAGGCAAACTTCTCTGAAGCTATGCATCCATCAGGGAAATCAACCTTCAGCTGTATTTGCCTTGGCAATGTTGTTTAAGAAGCTGTTTTGCCAGACTTGCTTTCTTTTGTCTGTCTTCTCTGGCATCTTTCAAAAGAAGGGCTTCTTCATAAACAGGCACAGTTGCCTGTTCTCCTTCGCCTCCCAGCTGGCAGACAAATAAATAAAATGAAAATATAAACAATAAAATTAATCTCCCCACGTTGCACTTGCAAATTTAGAAATAGATTCACACAGTGGTTTACAGGAGCCTTCCTTCAGGTTATGATTGCATTCTCACATTTATTCCAGTAAAATTCCCCTGTCTATTGAACAGATGTTTTTCTGTGTAAAATATGCCCAAGGGATATCCCCCAGCCAGTCTGCTACAGAAACACTAGTATAATCTCCAGGATGTGCTTTGGATAGCTGATGACTTCAGCAGAGAACAGCATTTCTGGCAGAGGAAAGTTGCACACACTCTCTGAGCTGAAAAGTGGTTTCAGCAAGTCAAAAAAAGCATCAGGTGAATAATGGACAAGGGCATGGACATATTTGGAGCTTTTGTGCACAAAGACAATGGCAAATGGTGAGACTACAGCCACTGAAGGAAGTTACAGTGATGTAGAGAAGGATGTCTTACAGATGATGCCAGCAAATGCTAGAGGACAGAGAAACCACTTCCACTGTCCCCTGTTTTGGGCATCCTGTTAGGATTGTGAGCCTTTCTTAGCAGTTTAAAAACCAGTCTTTTCATAGCAGGGACCACATCAGGTGGAACTCCTATGGCTGAATGGCATCCCTAGGGCTTATGGCACTTGGTAAAGCCACCTGTAAGAGTTTTTGGAAATCAGAGGGGAAAAACCACACTTGTCTATAGCTCATCCTGGGATTCACCTTAGAAGGATGTGATTTGGAAAGCTGAGCCCTCAGCACTGTCTTGGCCCAACCAGACAGTGTCTAACACGCCCACCACCAGGGCAGTGAGGTTGCTTAGGGTCTGGGGCTCTGTGAGCACAGATCTCTGCCCATGTAGGCCAACAATTAGCAGAGGAAGAAGAGATAACAAGTGAAACCAAAAAATAGAATTCCTTGTGGCAGAAAGTCTTTATTCACCAGGAAGGTACAACAGGGACTAGGAAATGACAGTGCTAACTGAAGCAGTCACTTCTGCTGTGGGAAAGCCAAGGGCCAAAACACAGCCCTCTCTTACAATTCTCAATAGGAGCTCAGTTTCTAAATCTCTTGTGGGTATTGTGACAGCCCTTTATGGATTTTTTAATCCATCTGCCTTTATAGAACCTAAAGGGAAGTCAGTACAAACGTGGGTCTTCCTCCCAGCTCACCTTCTCCTGGGGACCTGCTGTGGGATTTGTCCTTTGGAAGGAACTGACAGTCCCCACTTGCTGTAAAAGTTTGGATCAGATTACTTGAGTGCTATAAGATATTGCCCCATACACAGAGAAACAAGGTAGTGTGGGTGGGACACATCACAACAGACATAGATAGACTGAGCTAGATGCAAAAAGATGAAACCCACATGATTTATTGGCACATGGCACACAGTTGGAATCAGATCAAGAAAGATCTGCCAAAATAACAAATTTCAGTTTGCCAAAGTGAGCATGCTAATAATATCCACTAGGTCTCAGTCATAAGGGGTTGCATCAGAAAAAGCACAGACATAGGTAAAGATTTAAAAGTCTAGGCAAATGCACTAAGCTTTTATTGACTCCAATCTGTACTGTATGTTGATATAATCAGAAACAAGGATTTTGAGCCATTATTGAGCATTTGTTATGCTGAAAAAGTTTCTCACAAGCGATTCCAAGGCTAACAGGGAGAAGGTTTAGGTTATCCCTATAGAAATATTTTTGTGGATCTGGAGCAGAGTCCAGCCCTGAAGCACTTGAATGACCCAGGGGGGTGGGATGGGGAATCCCACCCCAGGCTGAGCCTGGGCTCTGAATCAGGATGCAGGGTGATGTCTGCAGTGGATCCAGATGGTGGGGAAGCAAACAGCAGTGTGGTGAGAGTTCATGGGATGTACTGCAAGGGTTTTGCCTTGCTAATCCATTCAGTGAGTAACTTGGGAGCTTAAATCAGGCATGCTACAGCAGAGATTTTTTGTCCTCTGTCTTGTGTTTAGAAAATGTGCTCTGCAAAGTCATTCAATAAGTCTGTAACTCAAACACAGCCATGTTGGGCCACTCAGACCTGGCTCTTCTGGGTATCATGGTGCATAGGGCTTCCCCAAGGGATTCCTGAACACTGCTGTTTTTCTCCAGGAAGGTCACACAAGGGATGTGTCACCCTGTCGTGCTGTGACCTCTCTGGCAGTCCATATGGAGGGGAGAGCCTGTGCACTGATGCAGGTGCACACTGAGCAGAGCTTCTGGGGCAGTCTCTGGGCTAGCTGAAGCCCTCATGAGATGTCAGGATGTTATAGCCCCAGGTTATGAGATACTGGCCTAGATAAAAAATGCTGAAATCAAGGACTTGGCATTCTTTGCTTTGGTATAACTCAAAAATTTTTCTTGGAAACAAGTTTAACTAACTAAGTGGCAATTTTGAGAGCCTGCAGGCCAACTTTTACAGTTCACTTTAGGGAAGACTCAAGAGGTCCCTTTCCCAAAGTGCTTTCTCTGCCTCTCAGAGGCATATTCCCTTAATCCTCTGGCACACTATAAACTAGCACTCTGGTAAACAAGCTAGAGCCACTGAGAAGTCACAGTCTGAGGACTGCTTCAGTGAGGAAGCTTTCAACTTGCCAGAGCTCACCTACAGACACATGAGCCCATATGGATGGTAGATCTCACCTGAAAAGTCAGTGTTTATTCTGCAATGGCACTGTCAATAAATAATGAATAGGAAAACACCCATTCTGATCTCTGCAAAACTGACTCTGGAATAGGCATTGCAAGATTTCCTCCTGATGATCATCCAGGTGCAGGTCAGAGGAGTTTTGGTTATCTTCTGTAAATCTTGTTGGGTCACTCAAAAGCCTGTGATGTGAGAATCAATCACTTTGGTCACTGACACCAGTGAAAGGGACAGGGTGCTAATGCTGCACTTACACTTATTTTAAAGAATCCTTTATTTATGACCTGCAGTTTTTGTTTGGCATGGTTTTACACAGCTTGTTTGCCTGGTTTGAGAGCTGGGCTGAAATCCCCAGATTATTTTAATCGACATACTGCATGTATTATCACAATATTTTATCTAGTTTCAGAATTCTACATTTAAAAGACTGGTGTCCCTGCTCTGTATCATGGACATCAGGGGTACAGAATGAAGGTATATGTCAGAATGCAAAGATTAGTCTCATCTGACTATTTTTCATTTTACAGATTCTAGTTCAAATACAGAAAAAAAAGATATATGTTTTTAGGAGGGAAAAAATCTTTCAGTGAGTGCTTGTTTGAAATGTCAGAGGAAAAAAAATAAACCAGACATAACCAGTGATTGTGACATTAATAAGATTCTGTAGCAAGTCTGCTGGTTGTTTGATATTCAGGTTTGTCAATCTATGGAGCTTTAGTCTTTTGTTTGGTCAGTTTTTAAATTTTTTCCTCATTTGTTTGCAGTCATTCCTGACTGCCTGAAGCATACTGTTTACAGTATTCCTTATGGTTCAGATTTTTGGGTTTTTATAAAAATATCCGCTCCTGTAGCAGATACTACCAATGATGTTTTCATTGGTAACTTAGCCAATCTTCCTCTTAGGAGCTTTAACAATGTTTGAGGTATAGGTTTTACTTGGTGCTTTTTCATAACAGCTGACTTGTACTAGCAAATCAATGAAAGCATCTATATACAAACCATCTTTTCCAAACCTGTCATATTAGAGTTGCCCTCCTTAGGGCTTAGAGGTATCCAAGAGCCTGGGGGCAGGAGCTGTTAAATTTGGAACAAGGCCATAATCCAATACCACTTCAAATTTTGTGGAAGACAGAGACAGCTGGGAGGTCCTCCTCCTGGGGGACAGGGCTGGGAGTCTCTCCCTCCAGGTTTGACTGGGTGGACACTGAAAAGTACCAAGGGGAGTCTCAAATGCCAGAGCATGCCATGTTTCCAGAGCAGGAGAGGGGATCCAGAGCTGGAGATTACAGACAGACTCTGGTAAAAGACAAAGGCAGTAGTCCTCTTTCCCAGGGGGACAGGAACAGAAATGACCCCTACCACAATGCCAGCAAAGGCAGGGCACTTTTCTCTAGTTATTTTGTGGTGCTCCTTGCCTTTGCTCTATGTTGAACCATCAGTGTTGAGGCACCTTCCCCATGCTGAAGGAAGACTGCTACAAGATCAAGGGTTGCATTCTCAGTAGATTATTACCTTTTTTTTTCTTTTTTTTCCATCTATTTTGAAGTCAGGCTGTTTGTGATTTGATTTCTGCAGTGTAGTCTGTATTTGAAATTCCATTCCCATGCTAAGAGGAGGGAATTCTGGTAGGAGGCAATTCTAATTGGGCACATGTCAGAGCTGCATGGTCAGGAGAGGCCCCTGGGTGACATCCACCACCAACAGATATAATTTCACTCGACTGTAGGTCACTGCAAGGCTAATGGGTGCCTCATTTTATCAGAGGATAAAAGATACCTCATGCAAACAAGCACATACAGGTGCTGCATTCACATGTATGTGAGGCAACCACTGTTGCCTGTGAGATAGGGGAAGTAAAAATTTGGTTTTGGTTAGGAAAGACTGCATTTAGCAGTTCCAGTTTATCATTTTTATTTGCTCCCTCTGTTGCAGGCTTGGGACAAAATTTTACTTTTTGAGAGGAATTTAATGAATTTGATTTTGTTTTAAGCAGCAAAAGAAATTAAATTAATTAATTCCTTTTAGCTGGATTTTTTTTTTCAGATTAGTTCTGTGTGAAATCCACATGCTTTCCTTTGAGCACATGTTGTTCTATAAAGTAAACCTGACCAAAATTTCATTTTGACATACAGACCTGAAACTTCTCCTTTCCAGAAAGGTCAATATGCAGCATCTCACCTTTGCGAAATTGATTTTTTTCCCTTCAGGATTTTCTGTTTCTTTTCTCAACATTATGAACTATATACTTCTTAAAAATCCTTCCCTATGCCTTGTTCTCCTATTAAAAAAATCACATGACCTCTTTATTTATGGGAGATGTATGGATTGGCTCCACAAAAAGCAGAGCTGCACAGCCTTGAAGTAAGAATTATAGACAGAGTTCATGAAGCTGGTCCTCTCAAGGAATCTCTGCATAGCTGATATTTCCAGAAACAGGACAGTAACAGAATGATATATGTACCTGGGCTGGCAAAGAAAGAAGTCATTTGTATGACTTCATTCACATGCTAAAGGACCTTCTTAACTGAACACAGACACCATAAATTATTGTAACATTTTTGAATACCAGCAGTTCAGTGGAATTTCTTGGCTCTTTAGATCTCTCATTTTATACTGCCTTTGCAAGAAGATTTGTCTTTCCTTGCAGTGGGTTACCTGAAGTCCCATAATCCATGAATTCATTGTAAAAATGCTTATACAATATTCCTATTTATCACCTCAATCCACTTTTTTGATGGTTTTTTTCTTGTTGTCTAGCAAGAATCTAGTAAAGTTTTGTCAATGTTTTCTCTGAAGGTATTTTAATCTCACAAATGGAATTAATACAGCAGAGAAGGTTCTATTAAAAGTATATGGGAGAATTTAACAGGGCTGTGTCATGGACAGTAATGTAGTATTTGTTACTGAAAGGCAATAGTTGGTTTCCTGTAGCACAGGAAGATGACACTGAAAGTGTAAGTAGACCTGTCATTAACCAAAGCTAATAATTTATGGTGACAACAGTGTAAACATTTTCAGTAAGTGGTCACATATCCAATGACATTTCTGAAAATGTACTTAACTTTACAGCCTTGAAACAAATCTCCCTATCAATGTGGCACAAGCCTGTGCATTGCTAGATTAGCAAAGTGGAAGTCCCATGGGCAAGTGATGGTTGAGCAAACACAATTAAGGCCTAAAAGCTGAAAAAATTTCCAGTTCATGGACTTAAATTAATAGAACTGAAGTGACTGAACTTAGCCACTTTTCTCTGTCAATAATATGTTGTAAAGAATCCATATACAGGTAGGAATACCAGTGACCAAAGTCTATGGGGCTGATATGGTTTTGTACTGTCCTGGAACATGCAGATTTGTTCCTGATACTGAGAGCTGTTCCCACTATTTTCATAGCAATGTATGGTAATGAGTTGTGAGGAAACCCAGGTGAGAACTGAAGTGTTCCTAACCACTGCAGTGCAGCGGGTCCAGTGGGGCTGGGACAGCATGAGCCCAAAATCCAGGGCAGGGGCATGAAGCTCTAGGGTCTCTTTTCGACTCCAGGGGGGTGATGAGTTCTGCTGTGTGCCATGTGCTCTGACCCTCATCAGTCTTCAGGGCAGATACACACACATTATTCCAAACACCACAAGGAGGTCTGAGAGGGATGCAACAGAGCTTTGCTGTGGTTAGCTGGTAACTAAGCTACAGATACACCACTGAAGGTGCACAAACCTCCCCATGCCAGCCCTCACCTTGGAATTCAACTTGCACCATCACTGCCCATGCAAACCACTGGCAAGCTGACTGAGGGAGATAACAAAGACAGCACCACCAAAAAACTCTTCACAGTGATGGATTCTGTGGCTCCTGAGCTCTCTAAAGGAGCCTACCACGGTCTTGTGGGAAGTGCCAGCTGCTGCACATGAGCTGGGGCAGGAATAGCAAGCAGGTGAGATTGATATGGAGGTGAGATTTCTCTCTCAGCAACAGTAAACTGTTATTCAACATGCCCAGTTATACCACCAAATTGTACAGTAGCCACCTTCTGTCCAAGAGTTCTTCCTTTTAAGTTATTATCACTGATTTTCTCAATGGTATTCATTTGACTTCTCTTTATTGAATTCACACAGTATCTGCTTTCTGAGGATTGACTGGACTGGGGATTACTTGTCAGAGTTAAACCTGTCTGATCTGTGGGTTTGACACTGTTCAATACTTCTCTTGTTAATAAAAAACTTATGACTCCTGTGCTATAATATGTGAGTTGGATTTAAGGGTTTATTCTTCCTACTGACACACTGAACAAATACAAAACCAAGTCTGATTTCTGGATGTAATCTACTGTGTTTTTAAAAAGTAGTGAGATGGAGCTACTAACAAGTATTTCAAACCTTCTCGAGTCAGTGTCACTAGAAAACACCCGCATGCGCCCAAAGTGCAAATCAAACACAAATGTCAAATTGTGAAAGCAAAAGATCTGTCCTTAAAGAAGAGATCAGAGCACAACATAATACATGGCACTGAATCTGCAGGAAACACTAAATGACATGAGGGTTGTCTGGTTTTTCTGTTAGGATGTTTAAAACATGACTTAAAATGCTGAATTAATGATGGATTCTTTTTTTCCAAAGGAAGGGAGCAAGACATGTGAGCAATCTTACCATTCTTGTCCTCTCTTCTTAATATCTAAACAAAAAGAGAGACAGAAAGAACACAGTCAATTTCTTCTTTTGTATGGGTTAATAACAAACAATGCTTTTCTTAGTACACATTTACAGTCTGGGCTCTACATCATATTTTCACAAAACTGCATAAAACTTTAAAGTTCTTAATGTGTCTCCATCCTTCCCTTGGAGTATTGCTCTTTTTTAACTCCTCCCTTGTTGTGTGCAATAAAAACCAAGACCATAACAGGAACCAGCTTTATTTTCTAGTTTGTTTATGGATTACAGGGATGATGTTCAGGCACAAAACCTGACACTGTATGGCTACCATGATACTGGATTCAGGTTTGAGATGCGTGGCTTAAAGAAGCAGAACAAGAATGATGGCTGGGAGAATGTGCTGAGCATCTGAGCTGGTGAGAAAGACTCATGGTTCGTGTGGGTGCAGGAAGCAAAGGGATAAGTCAGGAGAGGAGCTGCATGTCACAAAGGATCAGACTCAGTGTCACAGGCTACTTCAGCCTGAACTGCAAGGGGGAGTCATCTAGGAAATGGTGCAGCGAGGGCTGGCAAGGGAAGAAAGCAAATATTCCAAATGCGGTTTCTGCTGCTGCTGTGAATATCAGTGAAGTGTTTCAAAATGGGCACATATATTTGTGAGAGCTGACAGCAGTGGAAACATTCTCTGGTTTATTAAAATGTTAGTAGCATTTGAACAGCTTCTCCAGCACATGCCATGACTGCTCTGCTCCTACAAGTGAAACCAGACAAGATGGATCCAAGTGCCAAGCTCTGCTGGAGCACCTTCGTGACTGTTTTGTGTAGGGTGGGGTTGGCAGGGAACCAACAGAGTTGTGACCCACATCCAGGACTTCCCAGGTGGTTTCTAAGCTGAACTTTGCATTGGCCCAGATTTACAGCGCATAAAATATAAAATAGACTTAGTGAGATGACATTTTCCCCCCCTATTTATCCAAATAAATCATACACTCAGTTTTAAGTTTTCAATATAAGGATTGGACTTTTGAAGGGATGTAGCACTGGAGTTTCAATCAAATAGAAATGTCTCATGACCATGGGTCAAGTGGCAAAAGTTCCTGCATAAGTAATTTTAAAAATTGATGTAAAATAAATTATTTCATGTATTTATTATTTTTATAATTATTTAAAGTTTATATTAACTTGTTTTAATTAATTAACCCCCCTGCCCCCAACCTAAAGGAAATATTAAAATTCTTTAGACACTTGAGAGGGGTTTGATAGAAGACCAGGGAGGAGGTGGCTTTAGCAATCATATATCACTCTCATTAGGTCTCTTTCTCTGGAGAGAGATTATTTATAAGAGAATTTAGTGACAGGACAATGGGGAATGGCTTCAAAATGAAAAAGAATAGGTTTAGATTAGATGTTAGGAGAAAAAAATCTTTACTGTATGGGTGCTGAGGCACCGGTACAGGTGGCCCAGGGAGGTTGTGGATGGCAGCGCTCGAGGCCAGGTTGGATGAAGCTCTGAGCAACCTGGTCTAGTGGAAGGTGTCCCTGCCAGTGGCAGTGGGTTTAGAACTGGATGGTTTTTAAGGTCCTTTCCAACCATTCCATGCCATTTTATGATTCTATAATCCTGCTCCCCATTTGGATCAGGACCTCAATGCCTTCTCTTTCTGTGCGGCCTTACAACAACCCTCTTGCTACCTGCTCTAATTTAAATGTGTTTATATAGTTAGGGGTACTTCACTGAGGAGTAATCATACACCTACACACCCTCAAATATCTAAAATATCTTTAACATGGATGTACTCCCACAGCAGGAACGGCCCCCAGGGTCCAGTCCCTGCTTTGAAGCAGGCATGGTTTGGATTTAAGGTCTTCCTCCAGATATAAGAGAAGAATCACTGAAACTGCCTCCCTCCTCTTCACAGGTTTGTGAAGGGTATCTGCTTTCCTATAAATATGAACCTGAAGCTGGTTTAAGAAAATGCTGAAAATTAAACAAATAATTTTATTTTGAATTATCTTTTCTACTTTAGTGAAATCAAAAGTTTTCAGTTTATCAGACAATCTGACCATGTACAGTTTCCTAACCCAGTGTCCTGAGTTAAACTGGGGAGTTGGCTCCATTTAATGTTTTTTAACTCTTTCCCAGCAACTTAGATTTTTCTTCTGTTTTTGTGATGTATGACTGTAATTCTCCCATTTCTTTTACAAGTGGTATCTGAGACAAAAAAAAAATAAAAAAAAAATCTAAAAAAATCTGCATTTTCAATATACACTTGAATTGAAATAATAGAAGTCAACAAAAAGTCTAATTTAAATGATCTCCTGTGGAGGCTAGAGAAATCAGGAGATGAGCAGATGAGGATTGCTGGAAATTTGGGGAAATGTTGGGGAAGTTGAAGTGGGCATATTAGAGAAAACATCTAGATAAAGATTTCTTTAATACAGAACACGCCACTTTCAGCTGATATTGTGAAATAACACCAGTACCAGAACTGGATCAGAGTCAGTAGTAGAGTAGGTCTCAAGATTTGTAGGTCTTACCGAGGTCAGGGGCTACTTTGAAGAGCTTTGGGTGGGAGTTTGCCTTTTACAAGGATTTTCTTTGAAACAAAGAAATGCTCTGCGTGGTGCAAATTTAGACAAAAAAAACTTTACAGCTGCACTTTGCAAGATGCTGAGCCCTGGTGACACTCTAGCACAGCATGTCTCAGGGATTGCATGGCCAGATGCACATCAGGGCACCTCCCTGGGCTCATCCTCAAAGGACTGAGGGGTTCAAGATTCTCACTGACCTTGAGCACCTCAAATTCATCACGGTCTAAAGGGATGGGAAAAACCTGCATGGTTAGTGAAAAAAAAACACTTTCATAGGGTGAGAAACTAGCAAAAAGCGCCCTCCTCTCCCCGTCCCAATAAAAACAATAATGTTTGAAGCAATTTGTTTGGAAAGGTGACTGTTTTCACCCAGGACCTCTCCCAGCCACCCCCAAACACTGACTTGCTCTTCTCACACATGCAGTCATTAGAAGCAAAAGGGGAAGAGGAAAGGGGAAAAGGAAAAGATAAGGGGAAGGAGAAGAGGAAAGAGAAAGAGAAAGGGAAAGGGGGAAGATCCACAGTCTCTCTGGGCTTCACCCCCTTTCACCGAGGGAGGAGGTAACAGCTCAATGAAAAAAAAAAAATTAAAATAAAAGCGGGGAGGGAGGGAAGTATGGAGAGAAAAAAGGACAAGAGAAAAAGGCAGAACACGACAAGCCACTTTCAGCCGCCCTGTGCAGAAGGATGAGTTCCGCTCCGGGGTGTCGCGTACTCACATCGCGGAAGATGCGCAGCCCCGCTCCCCGCTCCGCCGCCATCCGCCTCAGCCTCCGCAGCTCCCGCAGAGCCTGCCCGGGGCCGGGCCCCGCTCCCTGCCCGGACCTGCCCTGCGGGGGCCGAGCCGCCAGCCCCGCCTGGAACCCGCCCCAGCGAGGGCCGGAGCGGGGCGGCCGCAGCTGCTGCTCCCCGGCGGGCCCGGAGCGACACGGACCCTGGAGCATCCTCAAAGCGTGCTCTGGCCACACTCGCTTTCTCTCCATGAAAGAAACTTGCGTCTTGCGATCTGTCAGGCCACCTTTTCAACCTCGTTTCGGCTGCCTTCCCCTTAAGCACGGTCACTTCTGGGAGATCTTTCTCAAGGAAGCGGCGGGACGCCGGAGCGAAGATGCGGAGGGGTGATGGGGCGGCTCTGTGCTTCCACTGCGCCGCGGGGACCGACCGCGCTCGGGCTTGGCAATGAGGTGCTTGAATATGATGGATCGCTCACAGCGGCCTGGCCAAGCACCGGGGGAGCGGGGACGCGTAGCGCTGGTGCTCCTGCAAGGAAGCGAGGGGAGCTGCGGGATGGGGCAGGAGCGGGCTGCGGGTGAGGACAGGAGAGGAAAAGGGTCCCGGGGTGAGGGAGAAGGAAAACAGCACTGGGGGCAGCTCCCTCCGTGTTATTTCAGACCCGTGCCAAGGGGTTATTGCATGGACGTCGTTTAACAGGGGCTTTGACTTTGTGCTCTCGCCACACACCACGAGCAGATGGCAATTATATATCCTATATTACAACAGTATTATAAATTATATACTACAGTTATTGATTACTAAATGTGATACTATGCTTCATAACAAATAACTAGACAGAAGTTTTTGTTTCAAAACACCTTAATGGATAAGAAGTCTCAGCCTCAGACTTGAAATTTTCTGCTTCTCTCACCTCCCTTTCCACATTTCAGAGGAAAACCTGAGAGAACTGATCAATTGGAAAGACAAGATATTTCACAGGGTGAGCAATTTTTATCTCAATTCATAAAGATGGCTTGAAAAAGAGATGGAAAGATCATCTCAGGCTATTTTAACTTTCTAATAACACTGAAAGGCTTTTATTTAATCTGATTTTTATGATGGAAGTATGAGAATATATTTTTTTTCCAGGGAGAGGAAAGAAGAAAAGATTCCAAAGGTTGTTCCAAGAGGAGGGTGAGTGGAAATAAGACCAAGTTTCTTTAGGCTATAGAGGGGCTTGTTTCTCTTAACTTTTATAACAACAACATTAATAATTTACGTATTTAACTTTTTTCACTAATTTCTAGCTTGGAATAAAAAGACCTTTGATGAAGAACCAGTATCTTTCCTTTTTGATTAGACTTAACATTCACTAAGAATATTTTGTTTGTCTAGAGAAACCTTCAAAATTGTAAGAAAAAATATTGTGCCATCTTGATATTTTTAGGGTAAAAATTAAAACATAAGAGTCAAAAATGTCTCATAGGACTTTTATTATATGAGAAAGTTGTGAATAGAGTATATGTGAAATTCCCTGATGATAGTTTTTATGCCACTTTAAAATTACCTGAAGCAATATCTCAATTTTAACTGCACAAGCAGAACCATAGCTCTGAATTTTTCTAGGTTCCATATTCATTCAATGATCTCCCTCTGTCTCTGAGCAAGAAGATGTGAGGAGAGGGGAACACAGGCAGGGCTTTGTGACCTGCCCAGGTGAGGTTAGCAAAGGTCAGCACTCAGTGACATGCAGCCGCAGACCTGTGCTGCTCACCATCTATTACAAGAAATAAAAGTTGTTTTGTGTGTGCCTGAGGATATTTAGAAACCAGCTACTTTACTACATTGCTCATGTGAAATGGTCAGCCAGTGTGTAATGATTTTGCCCTTTAATCTGGGAAAAGCAAACAAATGAAAGCTGGCAGCAAGAGCCACCTTCCACTTACTGTGCAATGAACTGTGATGTACAACAAGAGCCCTCGATGCTGAGATAGATAAACAGCAAAACTTCCTTTTTACTGAGGAAATGCAACCTGTCCAAGTGTCTGATCGAGTTACCAAACCACTCCATGATTCCACACTCTGTGTGTATGGCTTCTAACTGACAGGAAAAACACTATGTAATGCTTATGTCAAAATAGAACCTTTCCAGCAGAGGAACAGTACTATTTGCACTTGGCTAAGGGAGTGGATCTGCTTTATGGTCTTTTTTTTCTCACTGCAGGAGCCGACTGGTATGTATTCAAAGGGTCAGTATTATACAGAGTCCCCCTTCAGTTTTCAAAACTTGTTGTTTTGTCATGATTTGATCATCTGGTCTGTTGCTCTGTAGGCCAGCCCCAAACCAGCCTCTGGTTTGGGTACTCAAATGCTGCAGCTGTAGTTGCTCTCTCCTAACTTTTCTTGGCCATAAAGTAACACAGAAAATTCAGATTTAGTATGTTTGTTGCCATGTCTTGTAATATGAGCAGAAACAGAAGGAGCAAGAGGCCACCTTTCTTTTCCTGCACTTTGTGTCTCACACAGGGACTAATCTGACCCAAGTGAGAACCCAGTATCTTTAGAGCTTGGTGTTCTTAGGAATTGGACTCTGATCATGAAAAAGTAAGTCTTCCCCTATAACATGTTGTGCCAGTGGCAGCAAGGGTAGATGTTTGAAATCCCAGGAGTTTTGGTGTGCCTGGAAAACCATTAGGTCAGCCACCTATGCAGGAGCGTGTGGCTGGGTATGGTTCATCAGATGAAAATCACCTCAAGGTTCCCAGCTCTGGGAGTTCTCTTCATCCTCACTGTGATCCCTCCTGGAACAAGGCCTGACTCTGCTCCCATGGCTATCCTGCCCTCCTCCTTTCCTTCTGGCCCCACATCCACTAAGGGGTGGAAAGGAAAGCCAGACAAAGACCATACTGGAGCCTCACGGCAGTTCAATGGCAAACCAGTGCACATAACAGGGATAAACATCAGCAGGTGAGCCTGAATGCAGTCTGCATGGTTTGGAACTCTTTCCTAAACCACCAGGAAAACAAATATAATGTAAATTTATTTACATTACTCATTGTGAGAGACTGAGACGCTAGTGATTAATGACTCAAAACAATCAGCCATGTGTGGAGGCAGCAGGGTGCTTTACTGAGGCTGGGTTTGCACCCCCTGGCCAAGGAGGAGGAGGGAGGGCACCCAGCAGCGACTATGGCTCATGTTGAGAAAAAGCCTGCTGTGAGACTGGATGGATAAGGCAGATATCTCCCCATAAGAGCTAAGATAAAGAATTAAGGAGAGGATCCAAGCGTAAGTGTCAGAAGCAAAACAATGTGAAAGCACAGTGAAAAATTTGTACCTTTATTCTTTGTATTTGCAACATTCCCCCTCCCCCCCCCCAAAAAAAAAATAGTTAGAAGAAAACTGCTATAGTCAGTCTGCAGCTAGAGTGATTTCATAATGTCCTTGTTCTGGCCAGGACAGGGTTAATTTTTTGCAGTAGCTGGGAGGGGGCATGGCTAGGGCACTCAGGTTATTCTGAACCACATGTTATTGCTGGGGGCAGGGGAAAGAGACACTTGTACGGAGAAAATGGATTCCTTCCAAGCAAGAAAACATGGTGTTTTTTATTATTTGGGGTTTTTTTTCCCATGTGAATTGTTTCTTTTCTTATAACCTCTGCCATTAGTATTGCTGCTCTTACTGTTCCTGTTCTTATCTCATTTCTTTTTCCAGTAAATTTTTCTTACCTTAACCCATGATCTTTGCTTTTTGTGCCTCTGATTCCCATGCCATCCCAGTGAATTGGGAAGGGGAAGGGCAAAGGGGAGCGGGTCTGTGGTTTGGAGAGTCTGGGAGGGGGCAGTGAATTGGAAGTACCATTTGTAAGCCATGACATATATTTAATCCAAACCCAAAGAAGTTCAGGTATAAGCAATGGTCCTGCCTGAGCAGTCCATACACCCCTGCTCTGCTCCCCCTAAGAGGGGACAACATCATAAGGTTATTGGTATTGCAAAGCTTTAGTTATTAGTTGTTTATCAAGCCTGGAAGAATGCTTTCCCACACAGCTGAAGATGGGAAAGAGCCTCGCCCAAAGAGTTAATTCCAGTCTTAAGTGTCCTGGTCTATGAGAGCTCAGAGGGAGCCATTGACTACAGAGTACTTTTAGGAGTCTGTTAATTTATTCAAAGGCTTGAGGCTAGTTAGAGTGTGTAAATAAATCCAGTTTCTTCCATGCATCTGTGCCCTCCTGCCAAATGGCAGCCTGTATGTAACATATTTTGTTACTGGGACTGCCCCTGAGAAAAATGCCAAAGGGCTTGTGCCTCACACCTGGGCCAGAAATGAGCACAAATATACATATATAATAGACAGTACAGCAATCTGGGAGAGTGTCTGAGACCTGTGACATGGAGTCATGGTTTTGACTTTGGCAAAGCTTCAGTGCCTGAGCACTGCTTTAGGTGCCCAAATATTTTTCTGGGTGTAGGCCATTGTCCTTCCTTCCTGTTCAACTGGGATTTAATTACACGAATCAAACAAAAAGATCATGGATCTGAGAAGGGTATCTCAAACTCATTTCTGTAGCTGGATTTGAGATTTTTTTTAAAAAGAAAAATTGTATTATTCCAGTGGTTTTTTGAACTGAAGAATTTTCTCCCTACCTTTCCCAGGCTGACCCTCAGATATACATCTCCCATGAAACAGTACATCATGTGATGATTCCAGCTCTTTCCTTTGCTTTTCAGTTTGAAAATTGCTGGCAGTTGTTGAAATTCTGCTGTCTGAAATGACCCCCTGGCTCATACCAATTCAGTGATTTCACCTCTTGCAGCCAGGCTGACAGCTCAGGATATGCAGGCAGAACCCTCTCCCCAGTGCTCACAGCCTAGTGGAACATCCCCTGGTACTTCTTACCTCAAGGAAAGCAAAGGGCTCTTCAAAGCCCTTTTGGCTGATGTTTTGATCATATTGCTACAACTGTAGATGAGACTTTGTTTTGCTTTCAGTGGGTTTTTTGGGGGAACTTAATTCTTCCAGAAAGAGCAAATACGGCACCATCTATTTAAAAATAAAGTCTCTAGCAATTTTATACTGGCAGAGAATTCAGTGCCAAGCACTGTCTACTCTCCAGCTGTTATCATGCCCAGTCATAGGTTAAGGAGAACAATGCAAATAAATGTAAAAAAAAAGGAGGGAGAGATTTGATTTTATCTGTTGTTGGTTTTAACAATAAGCAATACAATTA